ATATTTTTGTGTTGAATTTATGTAGCTACCTGAGGAAAGCTGTGCGCTCTGTGAGTCTCAGTGGCTCACACAGGTAGACTTGCAGTTTGTGTTATATTGTCTTTTGTTGACGTGAAATCGAGTCCAGCTTGACGCAAATTTGTGTATATCATATTTTCTTTCCTTTCTTTTTTTAATGTCGCTGGTACGTAGTGCTCACTTACATAAGCATATTCGCTGTGGTAGATGTGGGCTGCGACTTTAAGATCGCCACTAATATGTTGTGTATGTTTGTGAATTTGTGACAAATCTGCTGACGGAGGCGAAGCACATCTGCGGCTGTTCGGTAAGGAAACCAGTTAAATTGGAAACCAGTAGGGACACAACACCGGCGTCTCCCCGTTGGGACAGCTCCAGGCGAAACCACGGTCATCTCAGGACTAGCTCGATGTAGCAGGCCAAGCTTGCTACACATCCTGAGCTCTCTTGGTTGTAGAGTTTGATCTCTGCAGCAGTTTCTAATGTCTGTTAGAAACTCGCGACTGTATTGCACTGATGAATTTACTTCTTGTTGCATCGTTTCTTTCTTTTGCCAACTGATTTCCCTGTTGGAGCGGCTGGAGGTGGAAGTGGTGGTACACATTTGTTTGCTTTTGTTAAGGAGAAAAGTTTATATCCACAAGGGTCCCTGTTACTAACCTGTTTGTTGTCTCAGACTCAGGGGTGGAGGGTGTGGGGGGTAGTTACGCAAGCGGTTACGTCAGTCAGAGGCCTCCACATGGGGAAGACAGACAGGACAGGAGAAAACTCCGACCAATCATTGCATTCGGTCTGAACAACCTGATCAAGAAGGCCAGCTCTGTCCTGGGATGCTCTCTGGACTCTGTGCAGGTGGTGGGAGAAAGGAGGATGACAGCCAAGCTGTCATCTCTGAGGACTAATGACTCCCATCCTCTGCAGGAGGAGATAAAAGCTCTGGAGAGCTCCTTCAGCGATAGACTGTTTCACCCAAAGTGTGTGAAGGAACGCTATCGCAGGTCCTTCCTGCCTGCTGCTGTCAGGCTTCATAACCAGCACTGCTCACAGTAAACTGCACCATGGACACTTTAGGGACACTATGGACACTTTATAAACACCACTATAAGCATTGTTGTCCCCCTTGTTGTTGTTTATTTGCACATTCAATATTCACTTACACTAAATATGTTCACTTTAATCCACTGCTCATTATTATTATTATTATTATTATTATTATTATTATTATTATTATTTATTGCTGTTTCTTGTATTTTTTATACTTTTTTCTGCATGCCTAGTTTTTTAAATATTGAAATCTTTAATCTTACTCTTTCTCCTTGACTGCTGTAACACTGGAATTTCTCAATTGTGGGATCAATAAAGGTGTATCTTATCTTATCTTATTGGTTGGAGTTTTCTTAGAACCATATGAGAATGGTATAATTATGAGTTTTCATCTCTGGTGGAATTCACTTACATTTTAGTGTGCCATCAGCGTATTAATAGCGTTTTAACCTGAACAAAGAAAAGTGTAAAATTTCCAGAAAGGTAAGTGTTGCTTTAATGTTGCATGAAGCACTGGTACCATATCCTTTGCTGCCAGGGCCTCCCGATGCAAAAAAACAATGGTTCCAAGTTGCACTCTGACCTTTCTCAAGTATTCTCCTCATAACCCCCAAGCTTTTTCCTGTCATGGAGGCAGCGCCATCAGTTGTGATACTGACACACATGTCCCAGCTTAGGCCCACGGAACTCAAATACAAGTCCAAGGAGCTGAAAATGACCTCTGCAGTCGGAGTAGTAGGGAGCTCTCTTGTGCAGACAAATTGTTCCTGTAATTCCCTGTCCCACACATGTCTCATGTAAATGAGTAAAACTGCTTTGTTTGTTATGTCTGTAGATTCGTCCATTTGTAAAGCAAAATAACCACTTGCTTTAATGCGAGCTGTGGTCTGTTGTCATCCGACATGTCTTCAGTTCGCCTACTTGCAGTGTCATTTGACAGAGGTATGGGTCCATGGCTGCAGGTAAGATGAGATCCTCTGCAATGGTGTGGGGCTTCTTTAACTTCGCAATACGATGTGCCACCAGGTAAGATGCATGGAGTGCCTGTCCTTGCTTCGAGCACGAAGAAGTGAGACACTTTTGTGATGTCCTCAGGTCTTGAAGTCTTCTTCTAAAGTACTCAACAGGTTTATCTTTGAGAGAAGGGTGTTTTGTTTGCTTCAGTTTCGATGCCTTCATGTTTTCATATGCCAACACCGCCCTGCACAAAACACACTGAAGTTTCTGTCCTCCTTTGTGCTCAATATAAGAAAATCCATATCTCATATAGTCTGCGTCGTACCTGTGTTTCGCCATGCTGAATTAGCATATGTAAACAAACTTTGTGGGTCTTCTTCTGTGGTGTGAAATGGCGGGTGTCAACTCGCGTTACAGGGCATTATCGCCACCTACTGTTAAGGAGTGTGAATAGACGACATTCCCTTGATTTTTTTCTTTTTTGTCTTTTCTTTTTTTTTTTGGACAGGCAAAGGCTCGCGACCCACTAAAAACGGGCTGCGACTCACCAGTTGAGAATCACTGAATTAAACGACAAGCCAAAAAGTTTCAGTTGTACTGGGAGGGAATAATCAATATCTCATTGCCATGAAGACAGGTATACAGTAGCAATCAAAATTATTCAACCCCCATTGCATATTAGGCTTATTGGCAAAATGTACAATTTTTCAGCTGTTTGCAATAAACAAAGTAGACAAGAACAGTTGAAATAGTTTAATAAAACTAATATTACCATGGTTTTTATCCAAATTCAACACAAAATGCTACTTTTAATCACTACTGCAGTCTCAAAATTATTCAACCCCCTGTCTCAAGCACACCTGATGCAACTAATCAAAATTATTCAACCCCCTGTTTCAAGCACACCTGGTGCAACTAATCAAGGGCTTCATTAGTTCAGGTGTGCTTGAGACAGAACACATAAATACCTGGACTGGCTAGGGTTTTGTTGAGAGTGACGTTTGATTGCATGTTAGAAATATGGCTAAGTCAAAAGAATTGTCCAAAAAGTTCAGAGAAGAAATCATTGCCTTGCACAAACAAGGAAAAGGATACAAAACGATAGCAAAAGCTCTGAATGTTCCTAGAGATACAGTTGGAAGCATAGTTCGCAAGTTCAAAGTTAAAGGAACAGTGGCTACACTACCTGGACGTGGCAGAAAGAGGAAACTATCAGCGGCTGCCACCAGATTCCTGAGGAGGCAAGTGGTCAAAAACCCTCGAGTGACTGCAAAACACCTGCAGCAAGACTTGGTGGCAGCAGGCACTGAGGTTTCAGTTTGCACAATAAGGCGCATACTAAACACTGAAGGGCTCCATGCCCGGACTCCAAGACGTACACCACTACTGACCCAAAAGCACAAGAAAAGTCGGCTCCAATATGCTCAAAACCATATAAATAAGCCACAGAAGTTTTGGAATTCTGTTCTGTGGAGCGATGAAACAAAACTGGAACTTTTCGGGCCTATGGAACAGCGGTATGTCTGGAGGAAGAAGAATGAAGCATATGCTGAAAAGAACACCCTGCCTACAGTGAAGCATGGCGGTGGCTCAGTGATGCTCTGGGGCTGCTTTGCTGCCTCTGGCACTGGAAACCTGCAGCGTGTGGAGGGCACGATGGATTCAGTCAAGTATCAGGAAATCTTAGGTAAAAACGTCATGTCGTCTGTGAGGAAGCTGAAGCTTGGGCGTCATTGGACCTTCCAAAAGGACAATGATCCCAAGCATACCTCAAAGTCCACCAAGGCTTGGTTTCAGAAGAAGAAATGGAAGATTCTAGAGTGGCTGTCACAGTCGCCTGACTTGAACCCCATAGAAAATCTCTGGTGGGATTTGAAGAAGGTGGTTGCAAAACGCACACCCAAGAATATTACTGAACTGGAGGCCATTGCCCATGAGGAATGGGCTGAGATTCCTCAGGAACGCTGTCTGAAGCTGGTGTACTGAAGATGCTTGTCATGAAGGGGTTGAATAATTTTGAGACTGCAGTAGTCATTAAAAGTAGCATTTTGTATTGAATTTGGATCAAAACCCTTGTAATATTAGTTTTATTGAACTACTTAAACAGTTCTTGTGTAATTTGTTTATTGCAAACAGCAGAGAAATTGTATATTTTGCCAACAGGCCTAATATGCAATGGGGGTTGAATAATTTTGATTGCAACTGTATGATCTAATTTATAAAGCTGTCATAAATTCCAAGTCACAATATTTTAAATTAAAAATTCTATATAAAATTCTGCTGAAAAAAATGCTTTTGCTTGGGGTATGGAAGAGGATGGAAACTGTCATTTCTGTAAATCTGAAATTGAAGAAATGTTGCATTTATTGTGGTTCTGTCCTCATGTGGCAACATTTCGGACGACTATCAAAAGATGGTTTGCATGAAGTTAGACTTTTTAACCATGTACCCTCAAACAATAATGTTCGGTGAATTAAGAAATGGTTGTCTTTAAATACTATTATATTATTAGGAAAAAGATTTATTTTTGAATCAAAAGGAAAAGAGCGATTGACATCCCCCTATTTTCTCTCCTTTCCAGCATTATTGCTACAAGGCAGGGGCAGTTAAGAGACTATGAAAAAATATGGAATACATTAAGGCCAAGTTTAGAAGATGATGATTATGACATCATTAATTAGCTTTTTTTTTTTAGTTATTTGTTTTTGTTGATTTGTTTTTTGTGTGTGTGATTTTTTTTTCATTCCTTTTACTACGGTATGTCTATGTCATAGGTTTATGATGTGTCATAGGTTGTGTAATTTGTATTGGTTTTGTTTATATAAATTTAAAAAAAAACTCTTATTCTACTAGAATAACGCTAATTCTGAAGCTCCTCCTCCATTCTACACTAAAACATAGGAGTTTAGTAGCTTTTTGCCAGCATTTCCACTGTGCACTGTCACTTCTGTAAAGACCCACAGACATACACACACACCCACCTGAGAAAACAATAGCAGGTATGGGCTCCTGAGGAGAGGCGACAGAAGCCAAATCTCTGTTTGCTCTCAATATCAGTCAACACAAATGTGAAGTTCTGGCCGACTTGATTTGCTGTCAGACTGCAGGGTGAGAGAAGAGAGGTTCACGTGTTAGACAGACAGACAGAGTGACAGAGAGAGCGAGCGAGAGAGAGAGAGAGAGAGAGAGAGAGAGAGACTGGGATACAGCACTGGAGGTGGGGCCCCCTGGTCATTCCTGTGAAAGTTGCTCAGTGGCACATAAAGCCAAAAAAGCTCTATTTACACAATATGAAATTACCTAAATGCTCAGCGCCGCATCTGCATCATTGGACCCATAGAACAAGTGCAGTAGAGACTTTCAGCTGCTGAGCACGGCTGAACAAGGCTGAGTGGCTGACTTCCAGTTTAGCGCTCCACTAACTTGATTGGGAATAAAATAATTTAAACTTGCAGCTCTTTTAGACTTCCCAAATGTTATCAGACAGACAGAATTAAATCGTGATAGTGGAGCGCGTCATTTCGTAGAGGTTGTGAAGCTCAAAAAAATATATCCACTGATTTACAGACGTCTCTTTCCCAACGTACGTCAACGGGGAAAAGTCTTTTTGGTCACTTTTCACTGCTGAACATTTGATTGTTTGTTAATTCAGATAGTTTAGCGCTGTGAGGAGAAACTCCTGCCTGCCTCTCTCACTGCGCTGTACTGTCATTCTGCTCCGATCGATCGATCAGCTGTGTAATCAGCGACGGGTTGGACTCAACCAACTCAAAGTCTGGTTAAAAAATGTGTAATTTACTTAATATTTTTTTTTAATCAATTGCTGAAAATAGTAAAATGATTATAGATACAGGCTACTTCAATATAATCACCTGACTATGGGGACTGTATGATGATAAGTTTTTATAAAGCGTGTGAGTGTACCTGTCCATGCTGAAGGGAAAGCAGAACTTGGGCACAGTCTGAAGAGTTTCCTGTGGGACCCAGATGACAAGTAAAAGAGTGCAGTATTATCAATATGTACTGATAATGTATAAAAGTAGAAAAGTAGAAAACTCTAGGGGGTATAATGTGGAGGAAATGATCTATGAATGAGGGAGAGAAACAGCAAAGCACACAAGGACATAACCAAAAAAAAAAAATGGCATTGCATGTTGTCCACATCAATACACACGGTACACAACAGAGGTATGTGCATTTGTTAGAGTTCAACCTGCATACAACATATGAGAACAAGGACAAAGACAGAACTACGGGTGGAAAAGAAACCAGTGAATAACTGAGAAGGGTGAGACACAGAGAAAAGCAAAAGAAACACAGTATATATATATATATATATATATATATATATATATGTAGTCTTTCAAACCTGGTCTGTGTAGTCTTCAGGGAACTGCCTTCGCACTTCCAGCCCTGTTAGAAATGGATGGACATGGGCAGAAGGTGGTTAAATCATGAAAAATCAATATGCTAAGACTTTTTAGGTGGTGCTCATATGATACACATTTTAAACCTAACAGAGGAGACAAAAAAAGGACTCACAAATTATTTATCATTTATGCACAAGGGGGCGCTACAGAGCTTTCAGAACCTGCAGACCACACATGGCCTAGAACAAAGTGACTTTTTCAGGTACCTCCAGCTGCGTGATTACTTCAATCGAGAATGCAAATCTAAAGACCTCTCAGCAGCAGAATTGGAGCTCCTCAAAATCCTTAAAACAGCCTCAGATGGCACCCTAAGCAACTTAATACTGTATGCAAAAACTTGATACTGTATGCAAAAAATGAGAATACTTTATACACTAAAAATAAGTGGGAGAAAGAGGCAGCAGTGAGGCTCACTGAGGAGGTTTGGGGCAAGATTTGCAGGTTTCAATCATCTTCCACGAACTGCACAGACTGGAGAGAATATTGCTGGAAGAATATGATAAGGTATTTTAAAACTCCACAGCACGGAATGTATAGAGATACAGATTCAAATTGTTGGTGGCAGTGTGGCTCAGCAGAAGCACACCATGTTCATATTTTCTGTGGATGGCCAAAACTACACTGCTATTGGAGGGACGTTCATAATGTACTAAGTACAGTGCTTGATATTCAATTGCCCTTCAATTTTGAAGTCCTTTATTTGGGTCATGTTCAGTGCTTGAAACAAAGGAGGGATACAAAACTGCTGCAGGCTCTTTTGGCTGCTAGTAAAAAATCTATTACTAGAAAATGGTTGAATCCAACACCACCAACATTAGAAGATTGGTACGGAATAATTCTGCAAATTTTTAAAATGGAAAAATTGACCTACTCTTTATAATCTAGATGGAGATAGGGGTCCACACGCACCCCCCGGATTTTTTTGTGGCACCTGATTTTTCTTAATCCTTAAAGTGTCTATTTTAAGACTATACTAGCTAGCAGACTGAAATAATGTCCCAAAGGCTTTATTTTTAACCCTTTATTCTACCTATCCCCAACCGGAAAAAGAAAAACAAGATACAGAAAGTGGTGTAACTTTTGAAGTAAACAACATACAGTGACAAATAAACACACTTTTCCATACAACTCTGACCCAAGGAATTCAATGGAATGATTATTTTTGACATTTGACAACATCTTGACTCTATTTCTGGACAAAAAACAATGAAAAATGGCAAAAAAAAAAGTTCATTTCACAGCTAAATTTTCCTTTTTTTGTGCACCTAGGGTGAAAAAATTCACCACCTGTTCTTTTTTTTTTAATCATTTAAGTGTCTATTTTAAGACTATACTAGCTAGCAGACTGAAATAATGTCCCAAAGGCTTTATTTTTAACAGTTTATTACACCTATACCAAATCCAAAGAAATTGAAAATAGCTTAGCTTTTAAAGTAAACAATACAGAGAGACAAATGAACACATTTTTCCATACAATTCTGACACAAGGACTTCAATGGAATGGTTATTTTGACATTTGACAACTTTATTTCTGGACAAAAACAGCAAAAAATGTACATTTGACAACTATATTTTCCTATTTTCATGCGCATAGAGTGATTGTTTTTCACGACCTGTTTTTCCTTAACTATTTAAGTAGCTATTTTAAAATTATACATAGCAGACAAAAATAACCCCCAGGGGACATTAGCCTATATTTTAAATAGTTTATACTATCTTGAACCTGAAGAAATTGAAAATAGCTTTGCTTTTGAAGTAAACTTGTTTCTATTCAATTCAGACTCAAGGAATTCAATAAAATGGGTAGGCCTAGCCTACCAATAACATTTCAAACCATACTGACTATTTCTGGGAGGGAGGGGGACAACAAAAATACAGACTCTGCGGAGGTCTGCGCGGACTAAAAGCGGACGTCCGCAAGCCCTGTGCACGCAAAGCTCAGATTTTACCGACCGCGCAACAGTGTCACTCAAAGACTGCTCGACATGTATTTTTCACATTGCCATGACAGAAACGTACAAGAATTGGGGGTAATGTAGTGTTTCACGGACATTTTTATTGGAAACTACAACGCGGAAGTGCGCTCAACGCATATATAGTGAGCTATAGTATAGCTTATAGTGAGCCTGAGTCTGTGAGCACCTTAAATTAAAACCCTCTGCGCTCACTGCAACACAATCAAACAGATGCGCAACTCAGAGCATCAGAAGTGTCTCTGACACCAGACTCAGAGCGGCTCTGAGTGCTCTGAGCGCGCTCGTGGCTTGTTGACGGGGTTAGTGTTGTGTTTAAGGCCTCCCCCAAAAAAACGAGAAATTTTTTTTTTTTTTTTTCACAATCAAATCCCGTGCCTTCAGCCCTAGTGCCCTAGTGTTTTCTCTATTTTCAGGCTGATTGAATAGGCCTATACTTNACAGCAAAAAATGTACATTTGACAACTATATTTTCCTATTTTCATGCGCATAGAGTGATTGTTTTTCACGACCTGTTTTTCCTTAACTATTTAAGTGGCTATTTTAAAATTATACATAGCAGACAAAAATAATCCCCAGGGGACATTAGCCTATATTTTAAATAGTTTATACTATCCTGAACCTGAAGAAATTGAAAACAGCTTTGCTTTTGAAGTAAACATGTTTCTATTCAATTCAGACTCAAGGAATTCAATAAAGTGGGTAGGCCTAGCCTACTAATAACATTTCAAACCATACTGACTATTTCTGGGAGGGAGGGGGACAATAAAAATACAGAAAAGGGCCAAATTCTGTGGGTGACTCAACATCAGCTGCCAACTTTGGCGTTGGTTGGAGCAGTGGGCCTGCACCTTGCAACTGTAAGATGGTTGTCTCCCACTGCTCTCTCTTTTGGAACAATTTCAAGAATAAGAAGATAAAAAGTAAGCATTTGACCCTTTTATTAAGATATTTAGTCATGGACGAGCCTACATGTAATTTTCCTATACAGTTTTATCATACAGAAATGGAGTCTGCATGGATTTTCTTGACTAGCTAGTGATGGTACATAGTTAGCTGGCTAGTGCTAACGTTTTCTCTTTTTCAGGCTGATTGAATAGGCCTATACTTACTAACCATGGGAAAAAGGACAAACTGTAACACAGCCATAGTGCCTCAAAAGAAGATTCGATCCATATCATATATTTTACATGTCCCAACTCTTTCTGAGTATGGTCATTTAACCACACTTAGCGCATGCAAGGGAGGGCACAGCGAGAGGCTATCATATCTACCACAGTATTCGTGATATGAGACTCTGTGAACCAGCCACTTCACCATACTGTATGATAGGGATGCAACAATATTCGGTATTTTACCGAACCGTTCAATACGCCCTGTTCGGTTCAATGCACAACGGCAAACAACGGTATTTTCGGTACGTTTCCCCGTCACAAAACTTTTTCAAAACTTTGTGCAGCTGCGCATGCTGTGTGATCCCCTCAGGAGCAGAGGCATGAGAGCAGCACATTGTTCAGGCTCAGTGCCATGCGCTGCTCATGCTGCCTTCACAGCCAATCAGAACGTCCCTGAATTTCCTAGGAGCCAATCAGCGCTTTGCATGCAAATGTTGAACGCTGAGAAGCACTGACTGGCTCCTGGGAAACTCAGGGACGTTCTGATTGGTTCTGAAGCCGGCATGAGCAGAACATGGCACTGAGCCTGAGCAGTGCAGAAACAATGGCGAGTGAAAGAGACTCCGAAAAAATAAAGTTTGAAGAGGCACCGTCATTGTATAGGTCTGCGGTGTGGGATCATTTTGGATTCAGCGTTGACTATGACGAGAACGGGAAAAGGACTGTCAACAAACAGACCACGGTGTGCAAGCATTGCTTTGCAAGCATCGGATACGTAGCGGGTAACACGACCAATATGTTCTCTCACCTACGTCGCCATCACCCGTCTCTTTCACTTGGAGCAGCACGGAGCAGGTCGGTGTCAGCTTCGACGGCTAACAGAGCACAACCGACAACTGCTGCGGCCTTCCAACAGCTGTATGCGACAAACTCAGAAAAACACAAAACGATAACAAAAGCAGTGGGCGTCTTCATAGCGAAAGACATGCAGCCGTATTCAGTGGTTGAGGACACCGGATTTCGTCACATGATGAAAACAGTTGAACCTCGTTATCAAGTACCCTCCCGCATCCATTTTAGTAGTAAAGTGATCCCAGAACTTTATGAAGTATGCCGGGGGGATATTGAAAACGAACTGAGGCAAGCACCCTACCTTGCTCTCTCCACCGATAGCTGGACCTCCCATGCAACAGTAAGCTACCTGACAGTGACTGTACACTACATACTTGATTGGGAAATGAGGGGCTTTGTGCTGCAGACTCATCCACTGTATGAGAGCCACACAAGTGAACACCTGGCTGAAGAACTAGTGCATGCAGTTACTGAATGGAAGCTAGAGAGAGCAAATATCCCCATTCCTGTAACCACAGACAATGCACAAAACATTGTGAATGCCATCCGTAATACAGATGTCTTTGGACCACACATTGGCTGTTTTGCACACAGCCTGAATCTTGCAGCGAAGAAAGTTGTGTCCCTCAACTCAGTGTCACGCCTCCTGGGGAAGGTCAGAAAAGTGGTGACATTTTTCCACAAAAGTACCACTGCTCACAAAGTTCTGGCTGACAAACAGCTGATGTTAAACATACCACAACACAGATTGATCCATGATGTCACAACCCACTGGAATACAGTACATGACATGCTTGAACGGTATGTGGAGCAACAACCAGCCATTTACTCTGCCATACTTGACAAAGCTGTGAAAAAGTCTGTGAGAGACATATCCATGCTGACTGACAGTGAGCTGAAGCTGGCAGAGGAACTCATCCAGCTGCTTAACCCTCTCAAGAAAATGACAACTCTGATGAACAGTGAATCAACTCCCACTTCATCCATGATTCTCCCGCTCAAAACAATGACACTGAAATCCATGGCACCAGATCCTCAGGACA